TGAATAACTATCCAAAGACTTTAGGTTTCTCTGGCCAGCCAGGGCGATTATATTCAGAGGCTCTACGTTTTCTTTTCGTAGCGTTGAAATCATGGTTCTTCGTGCCGAGTGGTTGGTAAAACGGCCTTCAATACCGGCGGCTTTGCACATCTCTTTCATGAACTGTGCCATCGAGTGCTTTCCAAGTGGTTGTCTCTTGTACCATATCTCTGATGATGGTTTTTGAATGGCTGCCAAGTAGAAAGGAGATTCTGTTTTTTTCATTTCTGGTGGTACATGAGAAATGTACTTCTTGAATAATTTCACTGGACAACGAGGTCCATCAGTTGCAAACATCTTAGGATTGAACGGACGATCCGGGAAGAACTCATTTTCGTATGTTCTAGTCTTGCTTCCGCGTTCCTTAATCCATTCTACGTACTCTCTTTCTCCATCTGTTTTGACTTCAAAGTCGCCGTATCTTACACGATGGTGCTCATCTTGTGCTCTCCAACCTAAGTAAACAGTGTTGTAAAACCAAACTGTACGCAGAAGGACTTGAGGATAACTGTTGCCAAGCTGTTGTTTTTGCCATAATATCTTAATATGATCTGTACTCAGCCCCTGTGCCTTGATTGGTTTCTGGCCTTTCCCACGCCTACGGAGCTCCTTTCTTTTGCAAGCCAAGGCTTCCCGAGAACGGTTGAATTCTCTATCCAGCAAAATGGAGTATTGTTTGCCTTGTTCTCTAAGAAAGCGGTCGATACTACGGAAATAGGAGGTAAGAGTATCTGGTTCAAATTCATCGCCATTTTGCTTGCGTACTTTTACCACAAAACAGGCTAGTAGTTTGTCCAGCTCATTAGGCGGTATCTCTTCAATTTTTCTTATTTCTTTAATCTTTTTTGCCCACCTGTAAAAGACTCGTAAATCGTTATGTGTCTTTTTTGCAGTGTTTTTGTTCCTGTTTTCTCTTATAAAAGTTGATACTTCATCTTCATCAGCGAAATTAGTGGTCTCGAGCTCGTTGTCCTTCTGTACTTCGACTGTCATATCCTGCGGGTTTTCAAAAGCTTTTAAAAGAACATCGTCATCTATTTCAAAATTGATGTCTAGGAAATCTAGGTCAGTGTTCGTGTCATAGTGAAGATTTAGGTCAAAATTTGGGTCATTTCACCTCGAAACATGATGCAAAAAGTTGCGAGCGTATTATGCTAGTCCTGTCCCGGTTAAACCGGTTAAACCGGGACAGAACTAGCATAATACGGTGCTATATTTTGCGAGTTATCTTGACCTTATAAGGTAAAATTACGTAATAGTCGTATAATAAAATAGGGTATCAATCAATCAAATGCACTTTTTTGACGTAAATAATCGATGTTAGTAAGCCCATACTGGATTTAAAATCATATTTATTTCTAATACGACCTGCGCACTGAACAAACATAATGATTGACAGCGTTGACAATTTGAAGCATCTACATACCCGTCGTACAAGTGGCAAGCCATAATATCCTGAAAAATATCAAAATTCGGAAAGATAGTGTTGATAACACAAAAGCCATGTCTGCTTTGGATGGTGAACGCCAACAAGGAAACGATAAAACAGGTACTTTTTTTCTTGGCCAAACAATATTGAAGTATGAAATGTGAAGTAGTCTTGGTGTAAAAGGACCTCTCTCTCTCTGTGGATCACCCAAGGTACTTGTTGAAGCAATTTGCTAACACGGATGGATCATGGGATTTAGCTCCGAAACAAAGCTTTCGCTCTCAATTTTGGTTTTCTATTTTCGTTTAAGCTTTAGAATGCACGCGGTTAAAAACAAGATTTTGACTGGTTGAAATCACGATACTACAAAACAGCCGTTTTATTTTGGCTTGGTGACTTTTTGTAATTATTGACCGAGAGAGGTGAGATAATAAATGAAAGTTGCTCTGGAAAATTAGAAATGCAAGCAATTTACCCGGACAGCTACCAAGGAAAGTAGAGGGACCTGCCCACACCATAATCTGAGGCGGACAGAAAGACAGACAGACATATTTTATTTGGCGTTTTGTACATCATTGCACATCAACTTAGTTCCAAATAAGTTACGAATATATACGTATGTTTATGTATGTGCATAATATCTATATTCACATATTCCACACATACACGTCATACGTACATATATAT